TGCAGAGAGTGTTAATTGGACGCCTGGCAATGTGTTTGAAGCACCCGGATCAGCCACCAGACAGGGCCAGGCACTTTTCAGTTGGTGCAGATGAAGCCTTGTCCATCGCCCTGGCCATCTGCTTTTGTTCCAGTTGCTCCACCTTTGCCATCGCCACCCCTCAGTTCATCTGTTTCAACTGCCGCCCCTATGTCGCCCACCAATTCCACAGATCTGCGACATGGGACGATTTAGATTGGCCTCCAATTTCCCATGCTCTGCTCATCACCACGGCCGATCACATACGCACGATCGCCACAACCACCACAGCCGCCACAAATAGTGGCCCACAGTGGCAGCATGTGAAGTGGCCTTGCAATACACCTTTGCCACACTGGCGTGAAAGCAGTATTGACAGCAGTACTTCTTTCCCTTCAATCGTAGCAACTGCGCCTAGAGACAGTCTGTCTCAACGTGCGCCTTGTTCACCCCCCTGGACGGTCGACCTGCACCGAGCTTCGAAGAACCTTGCAGATCAGCGCGACTAGATTTGATCCGGAAATCGGGATGCAGTTGCAGGCTGCAACTTGCAGCAACGTTTGTGGGCCTTGCTGCAGCGGCTTTGCTGATGCACTCCTGTCATTGCTGCTGCAGTGCGCATGCACAAACATGTTACAAGCAGCGATGGGCGCAATTTTTATGAACTTGGCAATCAATAGGGTGTTAGAATTCACACCCCGTTGACATCAATGACATCAGGGTCAAGAATAACGATAGAACGTTGATGCGTGAGGCTTGCAGCAACATTACCAGAAGCGCATCAACAAACTCGTTGCGGCAAGGCCCGGCAACACTGCTGTAACTCTATCCTGGTATCCGTATGTCGATAGCCAGACTTGGTATTTATGTCGTAAACACAGGTCGCGCAAAAATAGTTTTACGATTTTACGAGTAAAATTGCGTAAAAATGGGTAAATACAACGTAAGAACACGTGCACATAAGGAAAGTACATACATCCTTCTGGAATCCGGGAAGTGGCAGTCAGGGGCGCTGGAATGGGCAGAAAACGAGGTCCTGTTCCATGCCTTCGTTGACCTTGCCGATGGCGAGCTGGGCACTGTCTTGCGAGTGCTGGCGATATCGCCATCGATGGCAGAAGACTGATCATTGTACGGACTTTCATCGTGTACCGTGGGTGTCCCAACGAGCCGCAAAAACGTAAAAATGGCCGCAAAAGTATCCCCTTTCGCAAACTTATGCTTTTACGCGTAAAAACGTACACACAAAAACGTACACGGAAACGCAAAAAACAGGCCTGTTGATAGCCATCTCCCAAGCCGAATCTGCCCGTCCAGCGACCCCACCTTCCCGAGTCTGATATTGGGAATAAATTTTTGAGGGGCTCGCTGGCAATTCTGGGCAGCGCCGCACGCTCTGTAACAGATGGATCCAATGAGGTGTGCACCTACAGGGACGCATGTCCCCTAGGATCGCATCCCCGGGGTCTCAGCTACACAGCACGTACATCTTACAGGTACTTCAGATGTTTAGGGACTCCACTGGCGCCAAAACGCAGTGCATGTTCCTGTACTTGCACGAAATTGAATGCTGAGTCGTTGGCTCCCAACAAGAATGTCGTAAACAGTGTTCAGGATCTGTCACCATAAACCACGTGTATGTCGTGCCCAGGGCACCCGATATACGATGATTTTGCTTCGCAATTACTTAAACACACGCCCAGTACATCTGTCGCCTTGTCTCAGGCATGCGCAAAGTCGCAGTTAAGTAACATGCTCATTGTCATTTCATTAGTTCAGAGAATGGCGCTGTCCCTTATCCCAGTTGCTGAGCTATTACTTCCTGAATCATTCTCACTAGAGGCATGCATCACGGACCTGTCGTGCCGCAGGCGATTCCAATCACAATTTGTCGCAAAATTGAATCCTACACTAATCAAGCTTCCTTTTCCATCGTATGTGTGTAATATTGAACTTCCAAATCGTTGCCATGGCAGATGCAACAGATTGGGCCATATAAGATCACCCTGCCTTTTACATTGGATCCAACGAACAGTTAGTTATTTTCATTGTCTACCTAAATTGACGTTTTCCCCTAATTTTGACCATCATTACTAGCCAAAAGTGCTTACACTAGCTTTTCGAAGTGGTTCATAACAGATAGCCATCTTAACTATGATTCATAGTTCCATGCGTCTGAGATGTAACACTTGGTGGACTTGCAACATATTGCTCGAGCCAGACAGCAGCAGCTCTACTTCTTCAATGAGAGCAAATGTGCTGTGCACCCAGGCATACATCAGATGCTTCAATTTGGGAATTTGCGCGTCGAGGGATTCTTTCTCGCAGTATTTGCAATGTGTTTCTCTCAGCTGTTGCCCATATGGGCATGCCTATCGAATTCTGTCTGTTATGCTGTGCCGCATCACTCACTCGGTCGCCACATGTCAGCATATTCACTGAGCGAGGCAACAGAACGGACATCGGCGAAGAAATACGGCGGAGGGCAAGTCGACTTGGCATTTATTTGTTTGGGGAAGCAAGTTCGGGGATGCTGCGGAGCGGATAACTGCAATGGGGGCAGACCTCATTGCCACGATGCATTCGCAGGGAAAGCCTTTGGCGGCTCCTCGTTGCGACGGTCCAGCGGCGTTCCACGGTCTACCGTCTATGGCCAGGATTGGAGGCGCAGAAGCTGTCACGCCTGAGATGTATTTGAGCCGAAGCACGTTGGCACGTGGAACGTTTCTTACAACGCGACCATGGTGCTTGTGGTTGAGGCGAGAGCACGGTTCGTTCGATCTGGGTGAATCTCGGTGAATGGCACGTTAATGGCAAGCGTGAGACACAGGTGCCAGTGGAGAGGCGGGGAGCGAGACCGACCGGGCGCACAACGCGAAAAGCCGAATCTGAGGCTAGCTAGATCTGCTCGAGGCCGCGAGGCTCGTGAAGAGAGATACGCAGCGAATGCACGATGCCTCATCATGCTCGATCGAGCTTAGTTCCTCTCGAGGCGCAGGGACCACAGCTTGCACATCTATGTGGCCAATGTCAGACATACCTTGGCAAATCATTGCGTTGAATCTTTTATTACAGGAATGCGAGCAACCATCCTGCGAGGAATGTGCCTCAAAGAGCTGGAGATAAAATTGCGGTTCGATGAGTGTTGTTGTTTAACATTGGTGGAAAAAATGTACATCGAACCAGTCGATGGTGGTCGAAAACTGTGCACAAAATGGAGTGTGGCTGTGCATGGCCCCATGGTATTAACCGTGTTCAACCAACGTAGCTCATTTTTTAACAAATATACCATGTTTTGCAGCAGCTTCAGCCAAAAACATGCAAATCAAACATGCGATAAGATGTTCAGCAATGGATCGTCGGAATGCTTAATCGATCGATTCGCCTCGCGGATATCAGGATTTGGATCGGTATGCGGATGCCAGGAGTATGCTCAAGAGTCAATAGATGACGACACGGTACTGCGAATATACACTTCGGGAACAGCGCATTGGCAGGCCAGCGGAAGGGAGAATACACGATTGTCAACAGTTCAAAGCAAAAATTTGAGTAGCCGATGTACAAATGACGTCCGTTGCATATTTACAAGAATTGTAAAACTTAGTTTGGACGCGCTACAAAGTACGAATGCACACACGACCAGCTGGTCGTGTGTACAGCAGGTCACCGGATATTGCAATTGATGCTTGCATGGAGGGTTCCATTGTAACAGGCGGGCTGCGTACACTTTACTCATAAACATACGTGGATTTATTTCTCGTCTCAGAATATGGTCAAGGTACGCTAGATTTGTTATTCAGGCCGCGGGATTGAGACATTCGAAGCTAAATGTGGCATTGCGCATGTAAGAACTCTCTGTCGAAAATTTCCCCAGCACACCCTGAGCGTGAAATATTTCAGCAATGTTGTGCAGCTGTGGACAGAAGCCTTTGTGCATCCTCGTCTATTGTAGGCTATTGGAGGAATCGCACCCGGGACCTGCATATTTCGCGTCTCTCGACCCTCTTGGACAGCTCTCGGACCTCTTTTCACCCCCCTCTCAAAATGGACAATAGTGGCCTTCGAATGTGTCAAGGCGACTCTGGTGGCCTCTATCCTGCGCTGGTGTCCCGACACAGATCCAGCGATCTTCCCTTGACAATGAGAATGTCGTCCCTTGTCCATTGTGTTGTGTAGTTCGTTGAGCCTGGCTCTCGTAGAAGAGCTGATGGTTTGCTTCAGCCTGGGCAGGATGCTGTGCTGTCTGGTGACAGTGCTGGGTGTTGTCAGTTCCATTTCCTTGTCATCACTCGGCCAGTGGTGGCTCCTTGGATTCGAGAATCAGCTTGGATGAGGATTTTGCAGACGAATCCTCACCAGGGACTGATGTCAGTCCGCATCAGAATGCACGGGAGCCAGCAGCATATCAGTTTGAAGCTCAGGATATCCAACAACAAATTCATGCGGACGCCCACAGGCATGGGTTAAGATTGAGGAGAACGCAGCAAAGCTGGGGAAAGGTTGGCTATCGACACATATTGACCCAACGGCAAATAAAAAGGAAAGCGCGGCAAAACTGAATAGAGGTTCTCCCTTAAAGCTGTCCGCCTGGAGGCGGCGAGCACGCAGCGAAAACACAATGCCAGTCCAGGTTCCGAACGACCGCACACACTGGCCCTGTCGCGGCCGGACGCCCACGATGATCGCAATGGCGAATGCCCAACAGGGGCCTTACCCGATGTGGCGTCAACAGCAGAGTGTGACTCACACTGTGTGAGTGCCAGAGCGGGCGCTTGACTGCTCAATGTGTCCAACCTCCAATACCCAGCGAAGACCGCGCCGGCCCGTCAGCCCCCCCGCCCACAATAGCCGACACCATCACTCACAGTCCCACGCGCCGCCGTCTCCGCTTTGCCCTCGCGCCTCCCTTTGCCCTCGGGCGACTCGACACGCCAAACGAGGCCACAACCTCCCCAGCCGGTCGACCCGAGTCGCAGGGCACCATGGCCGCGGCCGTAGAGACGCCCATGACGGACGACCTGTTTGCAAAGGTGGACGAGGTCAAGCAGGCCAACCCCGACAACCGCTGCACCAAGTACCTGACGCGGGAGTACTACGAGAGCCTGGACGACGAGCAGAAGAGCTTGCTGTACCGGTGCGTCAAGACGGGCTTGGACAACGCCGACAGCGGCCTGGGCTGCTACGCCATGAAGCCCTCCGACTACGAGACCTTCGCGCCGTTCTTCGACAAGGTGCTTTGCTCGTGCCGTCCGCGCCCCCCTTCGCGATGCCGGAATCTTTCGAGGACACGTTTCTTTTCCCTGCCGTAGCCCGCTTGGGACGTGATTGACGGCGGGGTGGCTTGCTTCGGATGCCCACTCCTCGCCATGCGCTGTGGCCTTTGGCGTCACCCCCAGCTTTGAAGCGGCGGCCGACAGTCGCTATTGCCCCTCGGATCTGTCGCTTCCGCGACCGAACCAGATTATTTCGTCTAGTTCGAAGTCCTTGAATGCACCCATCGTTTTCTGGGGCCCGCGTCCTCGCGGAATTTCAAGGCCCAGCTTGAAAGCCTGCGCCTGCGAATCGCGGCAGGTGATCTACGACTACCACGGCGCGGAGGAGGGATCCAAGCACGTCACGGACTGGGACGCCTCCACCGTGGGGGACGGCGGTGTGCTGGATGTCACCAAGTTGGGCCTGGAGGAGCTCTCCATGCGCGTGCGCGTGGGGCGCAACCTCAAGAGCTTCAACCTGCCGGGCCTGATGGACAAGGCAGAGAGGATCCGCTTCGAGCAGATGATGCTGAAAGCCTTCGAGAAGCTGCAGGCCGACGCGTCCTACGGCGGCAAGGTGTACTCCCTGTCCCCCGACTGGGGCGAGGGCGTGGCCAACCCCAATCTGATCGACGACGAGAAGTACAACGAGCTGGTGAAGGCGCACGTGATGTTCAAGGACATGGACGCCGATCCGTACCTGAAGAGCGCGGGGATCTCTTCCGACTGGCCCTACGGCCGCGGCTGCTGGCAGTCTGACGACGGGCAGTGCATAATCTGGTTCGGGGAGGAGGACCAGCTGAGGATCATGTGCATGAAGAGGGGCACCAAGCTGAACGAGGTGTTCGACCGGCTGAAGGTGATTCTGGACGTGGTGGAGTCGATCGAGGGGCTGGAGTTCGCGAAGAGCGACAATTACGGGTATGTCACGTCCTGCCCCTCCAACCTGGGCACGGGCATGCGGGCATCGGTGCACATCAAGATCCCCATGCTCACCAAGGACGGGACTGACGCCAAGGCCAAGGAGGTGTGCAAGCCGCTGGGGCTGAGCGTGCGCGGCACGGGTGGGGAGCACACGCCGATCGGCGCCGACGGCACGGTGGACATCTCGCCCAGAGCGCGGCTGTTCATCAAGGAGCGCGACATCATAGCGGCCCTGTACGTGGGGATTGAGAACCTTATGGCGAAGGAGAAGGAGGCCGCTGAGTGAGAAGGGCGCCGAACGATGGCGGGGTGTGGGATCTGCGCGGAGTGGAGTGTGGCGGTGCGGAGATAGCGGCGAGGGCAGCGGGGCTGGGCCGCCCGTGGCGCGGTGGCGCTGGCTAAGGGCCGGCCCTGGTGGAGTTTGGGAATACTGGGGGGGGGGGCGCTTGCGATCCGATACCGGCATCGATGCACATCGAGGCGGACGTTCCTGCGTGGACGCGCCGCGGGTGGTGGATCGGACGGGGTTGCAGGCGGCGAAAGGCGATTAGTCAAACGCTGTGAGTGGACTGGAGAATTTGTTCGACCAACAACCCTTGCTCTTTACTTTGCCCCCAACTCCCTCACGACTCTCTCGAGGTCCACTCAACGCGAACCGTGATCAGACTGCTTTATCAGTCTTTTCTTTCCTGTTTCTCGTAGTGGCCTGCCCAGGCCATCCCATGCAATGTACAACCCGTCCTCAACAGAGGTCCCGCCTTGGTCGTGACTGAGTCACCCGTTGATTATTGCAGGTGGGCACCAAGAGAGGCACCCAAGACAAAAAACGAAATTCCATTTTTGGGCCAGCGGCAAAAACTCAATTGGTTAGAACTGGCCAACGTTTGTTCACTCAAGGGAGAGGGGTCGCCAGGGTTCCCGCACGCCCCCACTAGCCACCAGCCCCAACACCCAACTCGCCAGAAAACACGACAGCGCGGCCGCCGCGCACCTCCAAGACCCCTCCAAGACGATGTGGCCCGCGTACTCCTCGATGTGGCCGCCTCCCCCCGGGTGAGCGCCCCCCCCCTTCCTTCCCTTCTGCCGCAACTGCAGCGCTTTGCCTAGCCCCTTCCCCTCCATTTGCGGGACAGCGCGAGGGCAGCGGCGCAAACGCGGTGCTCCGCGTCCCGACCCGATCTCTCCGCAAAAGACGCGCCTTGGCGACCCAGACGCAGACATTGATCGACCCCTTGGCGGGCGTTTGCCCCCAGCGGCGTAATGTACGGCACCGCAAATAGCAACTCCCGACCGCCGTTGGGCTCGTGATTCCCCCGGCGCCCGCAGGGCCCGTCCCGCCGCCCGCCCCTCAACGGGAACGCTCTGCCGCGCAGGCACTTCCACCAGATGGCGCCCAGCCAGCCGCCCGCGCCGCAGGCGCCCGCGTCCGGGTGGCCCGAAGGGCAGGCGGCCGCGGACGCCGTGTACCAGCAGGCGGCGGATGCGGCCTCCTCAAGCTCCCAAGCGCAGCAGGCGGGGTGGTACTATCCACAGGGGGGGGCCCAGTATACGAACACCTCCTTGTGGTCTGGCGTCCAGCAACAACAGCAGCAGCACCAGGGGAGTGCCTACGCCGTGTCGGAGTGCCCACCCACCGGGGAGTACCCGCCGTACGGTGTGAAGGGCTGGGAGCGGTTTGATCCGGGGTTGAACGCGGGCGAGGTCGCCGCCCAGGCGCCCCAGCCCCCCCCACCGGCGCCTCCACCGCCACCGCCCTGCGTGCCCCCTCCCCCGCTTCCGGAGGAGCCCGGTACAGACGCCCAGCACGGGCATCCGCCCCCGCCCCCGCCCCCACCCCCCGAATCGACATCCGGGTACCCCAGCTCATCAGCCCCCCTGCCAGGCGGCGTTCAGTCGGTTGGCGGTCAGTATTGGGATCCAACACGGGCCTCTCAGCCATGGCAGTCTGTGGCCTCACAGGGGCCGCAGTGCCATGAGACACAAGAGAGCTGGATGGAAGGCCACGGCTTGGCAGCAGCGCAGGATGCCAGGGGAAGGGATGTGGCAGGCTTGGGCGTGGGCCAGCTGCCGCAGGGGTACTATGGTTCAATGCAGACTGGTGGGCTTGCCAATTGGCACCAGGATGCCAACCAGGTTCAGCAGTCTGCGTGCCCGTCAGGCTATGCAGGCCCGTCGGTGTATCCAACTGATGCAGCCATGGCTGGCTGGCAGCAGGCCATGTCAGTTGGACACCAGAATGCGAATGCAGTGGATCCATGCCAATTGGGAGCTGTGTACACTGTCCCTGGGGTTGCTCCGCAGGGCTACCAGGCACCCAAGGTGCCTGTGCCTGTAACCAAGGTGAAAATTAAGACGCTCTTGCAGAAGATGGCACAGGCGGGGAGGAAGCCGAAAAAGGTGGCAGCTATTCTTCGTGGCCTGCCTGGGAGTGGCAAGACAGAAATCGCGCGGAAACTCAAAGAACAAGCACTTGCATGCGGGCTGGAGGCACCAAGGATACATTCGATTGATGATTATTTCATGACGGTAACAACATTCATTTGTTGCACACTGCCAGAGCACTAGCACTTGAGATGGCAAGGAATTGACTTGAATTGCACTTAAACAGTAAAGTATGACAATGTGGTGTTCTCCATTCACGTGTTTCTGTCGCCTTGCTGAATGTAGGAAGTCGAAACAGTGGTCCCTGCCCCAGAGTCTGGGCGGAAAGGCAAGCAGAGAAAGATAATGGAGCTTCAGTATGTCTACGAACCTGAGATGAAGGGTACGTGGACGCCGGGCTGGCAAGAAATTGGAAATACTTTGCCGTTTTTTGGCTCCAAGCCACCTGTTGGAACAATGGAGCCTTTTGCTGAGGCAGAGCGCTTTCGCTGTCAAATGACACTGCTGTTGGTGCAACTGTGCTGCAGAGGTGTATCAACAGAGCCTGATCAAGGCCTTTTGCCGCACAGCTGACGAAGGGCGATTCTCCTTCATAATCCTGGATGCTCCGAACATTAGGAATGCTGAATTCAAGGATTGTTTAGCAGCAGGCCAGGTGATGTGTTGCGAGCAGTGCTGTACATTGACTGTCACGACCGGGAACATCTTTGTCCCTTGTGCAGGGCAAGGACAGATTGTAAAACCAGCAGACTGTCCCTTGTTAGGTCCTGTTCTCTTGTCTTTTCCTGCCTTCAGGTTGCAGCAGATTTGAATGTGTCCCACCTGGCGCTGGCACACAGACAGTGTCAAGCATGTGTATGCCACTGTGCGCCTGTTTGTGGCTTTCTCTTTCAGGCGCCTGCAGGTAATCTGGATAGACAGCCGACGGGGCGTCCTCGCCTGGTCTGTGCCTGCTTTGGATACTAGGCTTTGAATAATGCCACAGCAGAATGGCTCTTACGCTTTTTGCTCGCAGCTGCCAACGCAGGATGGGGATCGAGGTCTTTGAACAGTACTGCGGTCTGGTTTATTGAGCCCGAGCTGCAGCAATGGCCAAAGGGGTTGCCCCAGGCAGCAGTGCCAACAGCTGCAACAGCGGCGATTGTGTGCTGGTAATATTAGGTTGCTCACTCTGTTCATGCATGCTGTGTTGACCACAGAGGGCCGGGTATGAAGTTCACATACTCCAGCCCTTGGAAACAGATGTCAAGGTAAGCAAGACTGGAAGGCTCTCCAAGCCAGAGGGCGGGTGTTGCCGAATTCAGTGCACACTGATAAGTTGCCACATTGGCCAGGCTGCCCAGTGCTGCGAACAGCGGCAAACCTGCTTGGATAGTGACCAGTGCACAGAAAATGGATCGTGGGGAAGTTGCCTTGGCTGGGCTGGGCTGGAAGAGAAACCCTGGAAGCAGGGCCACATGCACATAAAACAGACCTCAGGGAATTCACTGCTTGGGCCTCAATAGCATGGAAGGTAGCAATTTGCCCTGTTCTCTGTTGTGTCAGCTGCTTGCCTTCATTCAAAAATAGTGCATCAAATGCAAGGAGTTTGCTGTTGAAACGATGAAATCTGATGCGCTGTCACTTGGTATTGTGCGTGGGTGGGACGTGATACTGGTCACAAGGTTTGATTGCCTTGTTCAGCAGTGAAAGCTCCCATTTGCTGTCTTGTGGCCCCTGGTGTTTGTAGCCGCAGTTTTTCAATTGCACCACCCACAAAAGACTGTGCAAACAAGCGAATGTAGGCCAAGCCAATGTGGCCGCAAATTGGCCTAACAGGGTGCTGTCTCTGGGCCCCATACCTTGATTGTGCTGACACTGGAACTTATGGGCTACTGGGGCCCTTTGTGCGCATTTTGCACAAGGAGGCCGGACATCATATTCCCTCTGTTCAGCCGACCCACCTTGCGTAGGTTTGCCACAAGCGGAACATCCATGGCGTTGAGCTTGAGGTTGTGGAGAGAATGGCCGCTGAATGGGAAGCCCCACCACCTGTGTACGCCCAACTTGACGTGTCTGCCCTGTTTACAGATGCAGAAGGTGGGTGCGTTGAGAATGTTATGCAAACATGCATGGTGGGCCACACAGATGGGGTCTGGTTTCATTGCTAATTTGCTGCAACAGTGCAACAGGGTGTCAGAGACATATTGAGGTGATAAAGGGGCTGCTCAGCATTCACAATGTTTTTGTCCTTCTCATTGCATGCTGCTTTCTTGTGGTCTTCCATCAGTGCTTGTGAATGGTTGGTGGCTAATAGGAGTTAGATGCACCATGGAAGCAACATTCTAGTGCATGAACAGCACCTTACATTGCAACTCACATATGCCTGGGCATTGCTCTGTGACATACTGACAAATGTAGTGATGTCAGATTTAGAGTATTTGGTGTCAGTGTGGGCAGGATACCCCATGTGCACAGTTCTCCTGGGGCCCTGAGCAGGCTAACTGTCAGCATTGCAGCAAGAATGGCAGAACAAAATGTCCTTTCCAACCATTTGTCTGATGTCAAAAAAAGGTTTGCCCATTCACCTGACATGCAATGTGCATGGTTTCTAGGGACTTTGTTGCATGCATGGTTTAGCCTGTGGCTTGGACGTTGTTTCAGATGCCATGGCTTGGTATGTGACTCAACAGGACTCTGTGTTAGTTGAAATGTATGCTACAAGCCAGTCTCCCCAATACACAGAGAACACAGCACCTCCCAGGAATATGCAGTGTCACAGATCAAATCGCATGTCAAGAACAAGTGTGTTTTGTGGCCCGCAGGGGGAATCATTCGAGAAGTTGAAATGGAGGAGGACAGCGATGGCGAGACTAGTAGCAACCGAGATGCTCAACGAAAGTTGCCCAGAAAGTCCAAGGGAGGGAGTGAGCCAGAAGCAGTGGTGAGCGTGAGCCGATGGGAGCGCATGGACGATGCAGATGCGGAAGACGACCCCTCTGACAACAAGAGGTTGAAGACCTCCGTCAGCAAGGGACCGTCCACAGATGGTAAGGCAGGTGATAGAAACCACAGTTCGTGTGAATTGCACGATGCTATCAGGAGAGCGCACAAGAAACAGGTCAGGTGGGCTGATGAAGAGGAGGAAGTTGAGGGATTCCACATTGGAGGGATAAGGCGTCAGGTGGGTCTGAGGGGTGACCCTTGGGTTGGCCTTGGGATGTCCCATCCTCAGATTCTGTGGCAGCAAGTCCCCGCTCAAGAGATTGTGCTTATGTCAGCACAGAGGGGGAGCTGCCATCCGTAAAGGGCTGCCTGAAGGTGTTGTGTTGCTGCAGTTGGAGGATGTGCACTATATCGACGACCTGGGGGAAGAGTTGGACGATGCAGAGGTGGAGGCCACACGGCAGGGGGACAGTGCATCTCGATCATGTGATGTGACAACCTTTGCACAGCGGGTGAGTGAAGACAGCGGAGTAGGCAGAGGCGCACTGTAGGCGCATCGAACAATGTGATATGCATGGGTCTGGGATTGAAGGCAGCAGTTAGATGGGACCCGTTCAGCAGTCAACAGCAGAACTTCCATATCGAAACTGGCACTGGTTGTGACTTTGGCCAGGTGCTCTTGTGGTTGGGGGGTACAATCGCAAGAGCTGGTAGCATCCCTTCTATTCTACGCCTATGGAAGGCGTTGCTGAAATGAGCGTTGGCATGTCAGTCATGGGGATACCTTTGCTGTACAAGCATCATATGTTGCGCATGCTGTTCTTCGCAGCGGCGTGTTGCTGAAAACTGCGCATCAAACTTAACCTCTGCTGCAATGTGTACTTGTCAGGAGATTGGGTGCAGAGTGTTGCCATTCCCACAGTCACTCCTGTGTTTGCCGCTTTTGTTGATGTGTACATGTGATCTGTTCCTCTTGCAGGTGAAAGCCGAGCACACGGCATTCAGATCAATGCACTTGAAGGGCGTGCTCAAGAGCTCAGCAAAGGCCCCCTCTTAGCAGCACTCTTTTCTGCTTTTTTCTTCTTGACATGTAGTGCAATAGCAGTTGAGGAACCCCTTGTTTGTTTTGGTTGCATGATGTAACGGCGTTAAAGTGTCTCCTGTATGTTCGTGGTGGAGACACCATGTTGTGTTAGTCAGTCAATCGATCGAAAAGTGGTTCAAGCATCCCATGGCATGACACTTCAACAGCAAATTGCGCAGCACCAGCTGTACCGTGAATACACGACTTCCCAACAAGAGTTGATAGTTGGTGCACTTTAGAGTTGAGACCCCCTCGACATACATGAGATTAATCTGTGCTTCATTGATGGACACAACGCGCTTGGTAGCGACACGCATGCTGCAGTCGATGGAAAACGAAAACTCATCCTGGTGATAGCAATGTCACATGGCCTTGTGCTTGAGTCAGCATGCAATGATGACATGACAACGCCGCAGCTTTGATCCTTGGTGGGGGACCACCAGCGTATCCATTGGACACTCAATATCGATGGCTGCTCAACAAGCTGCCACAAATAGCCTGAAAGGGCGCCACATTGTAAATCATGTGCCACAATCCAGTGCTGCGCATTGATCGGTCGGTGATGCTTTCCATCAGCCCTTAAGGCCTTGGCGCTGCGGGCAAAGCGTTGGTGCATTGAGACAACTGGAACAATACCAACAGTTCAAACTCCCCATCCACACTCTCGCAACGCAGAAAATCGTTGTGCTGTATCAGCTTTGTATCTGCGTCACTACAGCGCGGTTTTCATGTCGGCTGTGCCTGCAAAAGGTTGAAACACTTTGTCGAGTTGGTCTATCGAGGCAGAACAGTTGGGCGATTGTTTCGTGCGGATTGGGGGCGGTCTGCCATTTACTTATTCCGCGCTCCACGGCTCGATAGGCCCCTGCGATTCCAAGTGAATTGGTGTGATTGCAGCGTGCATTGGAAGTGGATGCTCAGAGATACGAGCAAAGTTCAGGAATGGCAGGGCAAGGCTGAAAAACGTTGGACCCAACACTGTTCGGTATTGATCAACCTCTCTGAATCAGAGAGCCGACGTCCAATCTGCTTTGCCGAGGCTCATTTCGCGCCGTGGCCGTGTAGCTGGGCGTGTTCTAGATGGATCCCTGCGTGACCAGTGTCGAAATGGCACCTGATCGACGTTTTGTGCCACCACACGTTTGTGAGAACATCCCTTTATAAATTTGGTGCTTATTGGTCGCGAACAGCACCCTTTTCTGTACGTAAGAGAAACCGCTCCGTGGCTTTGCACTCAGTGCAGCGCAGCTGTGCGACGACCCCGTTGCTCAACACGGTAGAATTTCACCCGCCAGCGATGATGAAGAACGACAGGGTCGAGGGGTGGCAACCCCTGAAGGGGCCCGCAGGCCTGAGGACACGGCAACGGACCACATCAGAGCGGCGTGTCTCATGAGGCCCAGCCCCATGGATGCAAGCTCATGTGTTAGTGCCCATTGGCTCAACCAATGCCGCATCAGCGACGAACAAAAATGAGAATGCATTACTCCCCACATCTTTCCCGTGAGGATCCCTTCTTCATGTGCTGACAAGGCTAAACGTGGGTCAGCGTTTTAGGGCTTAGGGTGCCGAAACAAGAATCGACGATCATAAAACAGACACGGGGAGTAGTTTCATGCAAACAAGGATGGCCAGGAATGTCGGCACTTCGTCAGCAGGCTGAGTAACGCCACCCTCCCCTCCCCCTTCCCACCGCCTTTTGGGCAGGGCAGGCCGACGGCCAGCGCTGCGGACACACTGCTCGGCCCCTTCCATGCCAGATTCCGGCCGCTTGATGGCCGTCTGGCTGTCCGTTGGAGCCCCAGTCGTCGGCGCGGCGGGCCCGAGGGCAGGAAGGCCGCCGGGGAACCCACAGAACCGCGGGCGGGCGACCCAAATCGACCCCTGGTCCTAAACTGAACCCCGCAAGCACAACGCCGCCCGAAGAGGCGGGGGGCCCATCTGTTCCGCCACAAAGCTCAAGCACGGGCGTGGGTGGGGGCGGGAGGCCCAAAGTTTTGCGGCCTTTTGGGGTGTGTGGGTTGAGTGGGGATGAGCGGGCCGGGCAAGGGCACGCGGCTGATCGTGCTCCTGGAGGGCACCGCGGCGGTGTCCACGCATTGGGCGTCCTGGCGAGGTAGCTTCCTGGAGCCCGTGCTCCGGCAGGTGGATCGCGGGCTGCTGGGCCGCTACGAGCTGGCACTGGTGGTGTTCCGCACCCCCGACGCGTTCAGCGACGGGTGCCTGGAGCGGTCGGAGTGGACGGGCAGCGTGGGGGAGTTCCGGACGTGGCTGGACGGCGTGCGGTTTGCGGGGGGGGGCGGCGGGTGCGAGTGCGCCCTGGCGGAGGGCCTGTCGGAGGCGGTGTACTTGTCCAAGTGCCCCAGCGGGCTGGGCGATCCCGCGGGCCTCGCCCACCACTGCCTGCTGATGTCGGTGTCGGACCCCAAGCGGCTGGCGGTGCCCTGGCCGTTCCCGGGCCAGTGCTCCGAGCCCGAGCGCGGGCGGACGATGAGCTACAGGATGGTGGCCAACGCGCGGGAGCACGACGTGCGGCTGAGCGTCGTCAGCCTGCGGCGCCAGAAGCTCCACACGCATCTGTTCTTCAACGCGCTGCCGGCGGAGGGCAGGCCCGCCAGGGAGAAGGCGGAGATGCTGGCGCTCAGCTGGGTGGGTGCGCGAGGGGGAGGGGCGCCCGCCGCTGCCGCTGTCCATCGGGTTGCGAAGGGTGTTTGCTTGCTCCGGACACGAGGGGATTGTGTCTCGTTCCCGTGGCAGCAAAGCCCAATGTGTGCCTCAGTTGGAACGTCAGCCACTGAATTTGAATCGGTACAGCCGCCTAAAAACATGGGTGGGAGCGGCAGGGGAATGGGACGGAGATGGGGCTGTGCTGTGCTGCCATGGACTGCTGATTGAGATGCAGTCCGTGGTGAGAGATGGTAGCCACACGCCCAGCGCAAAAAGGGCTGTTTAGTGTTACAACCAGCCCAAAAGAAGGCGCAGAAGAGCCTGAAGGGAGCTGCACCCTGCCCTTTGAGTGCGGTTGGCTGTTCTCAAGATGGCTTGTCTGCATGCTTTGCCCCTCTTGGTGTCCTTCTTGTGGGCCATGACGACATGCTGCATCATCTCTTTGGCGAGCATCTGTCCCCTCCAGGGTGGAAGGTTGGATGCATCGTTTGCAGCCTGGGATTTTGTTGTGCATTGCCATTTCCCAAGTATGCATGAAATCCAGCATGCCAAGTGAAGGAATGCAACACAGTTGCACTGCACATTAACGAAGGAAGACTTTATCGTGTTCTTCACAGCATTTTCTAACTGGATTGGGCATTGGCAGCTGCTGCTTCTGTGGGATTGCATCTCCTGGGCAAACATGTTCTTGGGCAAAACATGTTCTGGGCCCAACAGGAACACAGACACTCAATCATGACTGACAAGCATCCATCTTCCTGCTTTGGATGAGCGGATGTAAGCCATGCTATTGGGTACTCGCATGGGGATCGACAGCTTGGGCTGCAATTGGCACAGGCTGACATTTCATAACCAGACTGCTGCAGCCTTTCGGTGAACCTTGTTGCAAGCATATTCACTGCATTCCTGTCTATCTGCTGTTCTTGCAGTTACGGAGCTACTATGTTTTGATCAACCCAGCGTGGAATGATGCCTGGCAAGTTCTGCTGCATGAAAAGAAGGCAAACCGGCACACTGGCCCCCAGGAGGGGACATCCGCCCCATCCAACCCAATCACAACATCGTCCGGTATGCAGTCACAAACTCCGACCAGCACACAGACGCACTCCCCAGGTGTGCAGAAACATATCAGTGTTGAGAATGGTTTACTGCGTTTCACACTGTCACGAGAGAATTTGCAGACATTTGGATGAGAGAACCATACCATCAACAGTAGTATTGGTTGCGGGAATCACAGCGTCAAGCATATGTCGATTTCACGATGAAGTGATTTGGGCACACGAATGTGATTTGTGGAAGGCAGTCGATTGTTTAAGGTAGTGCACAGAATTTGCCAAGGCAACGAGGTGCACAAGATGCAAGTCTTGATTTGAAACCCAGACAAGCAGAGCCATTCTTGCCATGGATGTTTGGTTACGCCCAACAGGCAGACTTGCAGCGAGCTCCAATTCACAAGAATTGTGTTTCAAACGGCGCCTGCATGCCAGACGTAGGACTAGACCCCAGAGTGTGGCCACCCCAGGCCGCTGAATTCGACAAGCTCACGCTCACGATTCCAGGGCAACCAGTCTGCGCTCTTGACAGGATCTGCAAGCATCACAGGAGCAATTGCACCGGAGGTGCTCCTTGGTCAGGAAATTGGTTCTTGGCACCTTGTGCATTAGAGATCTCATTTTGTAAACGCAGCAATGTGCAGATCGTGGTTCCAGGTGAGTTGCTGGTGTACGATTAGCATATGGGGTGATACAATGTTGCGCGGGTGCTTTTGTGCAGGAATCCAGATGCCTCGCAATGCTGCTTCGACTGGATCTGTTTCTGTGAAGAGACCATTGGCAAATGGTCCAGGCAGCGTGGGAGCTTCAGCGAGTTCCATGCAGCATCACTCACCGTATGCTGTGCAGTATCCTCAGGTATGATCACCGCAAGGTGACCAAATTCCATGTCGATCGAAAATTTGATAAACTGCAGCCCCTACTTACAGCCTGTGCATGTGTGGCCGATGCTTGGTGCATGCTTTCTATCTGTGTGTGTGTGTGTGTGTGTGTGTGTGTGTGTTTCTGTGTCTCAGTAGTTCTGCTCTGTTTGTCTCACTACGCCAGTACTTATTTTGTGGGGGCTTCTGGGGTGATGAATGGCAAGCCTCTGCACAATTGCACTGTGGAGCCAGTTATTTGTTTTCATTCAAAACTGTCATGCGCATTGATTGCTTTGGTCAGAGTATGGCAATGATCTGCCTTTGAATCTCTGAGGCAATGAAGGAATCTCTCCCTCCTCAACTGTTTGTTCCTGCCGGCTCCACTTGATTTCTTTTCAATAAGAGGAAATCATCGCAGTCAGTGTAGCAATGAATGCTATGTGACTTGCTGCCAATCCGTGCAATGCATTTCTCCCTTTGAATGCCAACGAGCACCTCAGCATCGATATTCTTCGACATTGTGCAAATTTGAACTTGGGGTAGTGCAGAGATTAAATTAGTGCTGAAAGCTCATTGGCAGGTTTCTGGCTTCAGGGTGCGTTAACCACTAAAAACCTTGCCACTTTCAGCGAAGAGCCTACAGCCCAAATCGTTGCATCTTGCTTATGTTTTTACAGTTTGTGCCATATCTGAGCATCGTCAATGTCACCAACTGAAGGTTGCTTCCATCTGTGTGCATTGAATATTTGCTTTGTTGCAGATGAATGGCTCTCCCATTGTGAGTCCAATGCTTGGAACCAGCCCCCAGGCTGGCACATCTCCAGGACCACACCATGGCGTGGTGGCCAATGCTCAGCCCTTGGCAAGGAGCCCCGCGGTGCACACTGTCTCCACCTCGCCCCCGCAGCAGGAACAGCAGCACCAGCAGCAACAGAAAGTGGTGTCACCCCCGTCATTGCACTCTCAGCCATATGTTGGGTCGGTGCGTGCAACGCCGCCTCAACCACAGCAACCCCCTGTGGCAAACCAGCGGGCTCCAGCGAAGCACCAAGTCCCTGTGGGACAGAACAACCTGCCATTGAACCATCAGATCCGCATTGCAGCGGGTCGCACATCGGGGCACCAGGCCATGGCCCCAGTGGGCGTGAGGGGCGAGAACCAGCAGGACATGACGCAGGGCATGGCACAGGGCAGGGTGCATGCAGGCATGTCACAGCAAGTGCCAGAGCATGGCATTCCCCAGCAGGCGCATCAGCAGGGCGCCATGCAGCAGAACTCACATCAAGGAATCCCGCAGCAGATGCATGAGATGCAACAGCAGCAGCAAATGCAACAGCAGCCACAGCAGCAAATGCAGCAGGGGATGCAAATGCAGCAGGGGATGCAGCTGCAGCAGCAGGGGTTGCAGCCGCAGCAGCCACAGCCGCCAATGCAGCAGGGTTTGCAAGTGCCGCATGGGTACCAGCCACAGCCAGGGATGCCACCGCAGCAGCAAATGCAGCATGGCATTCAGCCACAGCAGCCAGTGCAGCAGCCGGTACAGCAGCCAGTGCAGCAGGGCTTGCAGCAACAGCACCAGCACATGCAGCAGGGAATGCAACAGTATGAAATGGGACAGCAGGGAATCCCACAGCATGGAATGCAACAGCAGATGCCACAGCCGTATGGTGCACAGGTGCCCATCTCCCAGTCGGTGGCAGGTGGCATGCAGGGCATGCAGAACACCAGGGTGACATCACAGGGACTGCACCCGCCGACACACGTTGCCCCCTCGGCTGCTGCATCCTGGCCTGGGCAGAATCAGGCCATGTCTTCGGGGCGATACCACAGGATGGGGGAGCCTGCAACGGGGACCCCTGCCCCAGCACCGGCACCCGGGGCACTGGCTGGGGCGAACATGGGATATGGAGGTCCAGCTATGCAGGGATCGATGGGTGAGATGAACAGTATGCAGATGGGGAGGACGAGTGTGGTTGGTGGCCAGGCCAGCCATGCAGGGAACGGTGTCCAGCAGCAAGGCAGTATGCATCAAGCTGGCACCATGCAGGTCCCTGGCTTGGCCTCGGGAATGGTGTCCAACCAAGCTCCGAACCAGGCCCTCCACTCCAGGCAGGATGCTGCGGGGATGGGCCAACAGCCACCGCAGGGCCGGTCGGTGCAGGGCATGCCCGGCTACGGGATGTCAGGGTGGGCAGGTGGTGGGAACATGGGAGGCATGCCGGCAGGTGCGCCAATGGGCACAGGAGGGTACCAGATCCAGCATCACCATCAACAGCAACAGCAGCAGCAGCAGCAGCAGCAGCAGCAGCAGCATCTGCTATCGCGTGTTGACCAGCAGGCAGCCAAGAGGCAGCGCCTTCGAAGTGGCCACTCGGGTATGGCTGGGCAGCAGGTGTCGACAGTGCGAGGCCCTGCTGCCACAAGCATGGGGATGCCTGGCTACGGGAACCCTGGAATGCCCATGGGTCAGCAGCAGCCAAACCCAAACTCGGGCCTCATACCAGGTGCGCAATTCTGACTGTCCTGATTGTAAACACATGTGCAGTGTTAGCTGGAATTACTGTAATAGGATGATGGTCAGAGTATTTCATTTCATGTATGATAGGAATTGGTGTCAGCATTCTGGGCAGGTTTATGAGGTGACCATCGCCCTGCACATTTACTTCTCTGTCGATTAAGCCTTGCAGTCATCAGACCTTAGCATGAAAATGGAAGTATTTACCCTCAAAAGCATCTGTTGGCCTTCTTTAACTAGAAGGAAAACATGTCAGGTGGGCAGACCTCCTCCTATGCAAAAAGATTTTTTTGTGATGATGTGTTCCACATTGTAGGTGACAGCGCAGTCTGCGAGCGCAACAGTTACAACACAAAAGACAAGAGGTGCCCTCTTCCCACAGATACCTTTGTGTTTGGAGCCAGGCAGGCAGGCAAACTTGGCATTATCGTGAATCCATTAATCTCAACTGTGCACCTTGTGGCAAGCAGCCATTGGCATACCACCGTAATGCAGGCCCACAAAGACTGAACCTGGGTTGGGCCCTTGTTTCCAGGGTGTCAGCCCCGCTGTTCCCTTAGGCATCTTCAGCCCACCAGCTCTTCGGCTGCCTGTCCCTGCCAATGGGAGCAGCAACCTGCTTGCTCAGAATGGGTTCTGACGTTGTTGATACGGCTTCTTCTCCAGGTTCCGCCAGCAGCAACGATCTGTACCGTGTTTGGCAAGGCACAGTCGTCCTGTCCCCAGCGCTCACTAAGAAGCTGCAAGCACAGAAGATGTTTGATGCACGGATAATGTCATCCCAGTATGGCGTGCAGCACCGATGGCCACCGCAGGTGATGGTGGTGAAGGTAGATGATCGTCGGGAGCACTCTCACCAGCAGAACAGCCAGTACGTCATGATCCCGGAGTCCAACACGCAACTGGGCACAGCCGTGTTAGAGAAGATGAGGACCAAGAACATGGCCGCTTTCGTGGACATGAATCCAGAACCCACAATGCTCGTGTTGCGGGTGCAGGTGTGTGTGTGTGTGTGTGTGTGTGTGTGCAGTTGTTGTTGTTGATGATCAGATACTGTGAATCATCAGCACGAACATTGTTTCGAAGCGGAAAAGCAAAAAGTGTTGCATCTTTTCCTTTGCCAGAAGATCTCTGAAGTTACCCACAGTCTTGAAAGTATCTCCCTGAATGGGGTCAATTGTGCCACCTGGAGAGAAGGAGCAAGTGGAAGAAGGAAGAAGGGACAATGCAGGACCAGAATCCCAGAATGTGGATATTCAAGGCGTATCAATTCACTTCAGCTCAGCACACTCCACCATCTACAGCATGCAGGTCCTAGGCAGGTCCTAGGTCTATGGCTGTGCCTGCATGTCGCCTGATTGCATGACAGATCGCATCCAGGCACCTGCGCAGGTGCCTGACATTAATGATCGACTCGTGCACTGCACAATGAAGGGCAATGTGCTCATCAGCGATGTGTTGCTGTGGGGGCAGGTCTGGCGCAACGGGATGGTGCTCACTGGCTACAGTAGGCCCAGCAGTTTGAGGCTGGATGGGTCATGACGCCAGCCCCTCCTGATGGCTGGGGAGGCGAGGGCAAAGCAGGCCTCCAGGAGGCTGTAGGCACTGAACTCCAGGGGCTCAACCGCTGCTCTGCAGTTGAGATGCAGGTTGAGAGAAGGTGCTTTCCGGTGAAGGAGTGGAGGCAAGGAGCCCTGATGAGTCACCTTTTTGAAGAGAGGCAGGTGTTGCTGTGCAGGTCGCGGGTGGTATTTCATTGGCTTCCTAGCCCTGTTTCATTTGATTTCCGCTCATTTAATTTGTATGTGACGTTGACATATGATTGCTGAACACTGTGCCCGTCTTGGCTCAATGCATGTGGCTGTTGATGGATCTCACTACGCCTGGAACTCTGTGTAGCCATCCAACAGCCGAACGCAGCACACACAAAGAATTCCAGGTTATGAGCTTATTGGAGTTTTTTTTTGCTTGGGATGGATACATAATGCTATTTGGAGTTGAACCTCCATGTAATCTGATTTGACACAAGTCTCAAGTACAACAAAATTACACACAGGGACAAATACGGCGCTCATACGCGCATGCACACACACACACACACACACACACACAGATAACCATTGCCAGACAAGTGTGCAGCCTTTTGGTGTGCGTCGCCAAGCGCGAGTCATTCCATGCAGCTTGAACAGAACCTACGTCGCCTCGCCCTCCCCCCTGGCACGCCACTTGAATGACGACTTCTTCTGGGCTCTCCGTTTGGCGCTTCCTTGTCACCTTCCGTTCTTTCCGTTCGGCAAAGCTGTGGCCCCATCTGTGCATTTGCTACTGCCCCAGAAAGGCGCATCAACACGGCAGCCCAGCGCCGCTGCGGAGGTGCGAGGCCAATGCTTTGCCGTGTCTCGGCAGGCCCAGCCTGTGGGGATGTCCAACACAGAGTGGCGTCATGCCACTCGTTGGAAGCAGATTTGGACTGTGCACAAACACATGCATCCACGTGGCGTACTGTCATGGACGAGCCCATGGAATCCTTGGCTCTCTGTGCTGCGTGGTCTTATGGCAGCAATGTGAAGCGGGACTCGGGTGGGCGGCTGTTTCCTTGTTCCGTACATTCGAACGACATTTCCATGTGGAGTCAAAGAGACACGAACATATGTTGGATTGCGAAACTTTCACTGGGTCCAGGTTCAGTGTGGCTCACAACTGTCGCGGCTGGCACAGCTCCATGGGAGGCAACGTGGTCAGTGGGAGAACCTACGACCACTGCCGCTGGCTGCATTGCGCGATTCGCAGTCCATGGTGTTTCCTTCGCAAGAGTTGGCCAGCTGCTCTGAACAGGCTGCGCATCGGCGTCACGGGGACACATGCTTCCCCTACAAGTGGTGAAAACCATACATGGTCGCGAAGGTGGCCTGGTGCCAACACCCAGAATTGTGAGGCAGGTTGAAGATGGGTTCCGGGATTGGTCATGACGCATGGCACACAGCACGTCGGTGGCAGGCGCTGATGCACTGCAATGGATGAGCGCTCACTGTGTTGTGTGTCGTCGCCAGATTTGGTGCAAGGGCTCTGCCATGCCGTGTGCTCCAGTGCATGGCCAAAGCAATCCCCAAAATTCAAACGTTTGGCGTGTTTCTTGATTGCTGCGCAAGCAAAATGTGCTGGTCGTTGCCGGGGTCCACATTAACGTCACAGCGTTGTGACAATGTGATGTTCGAGCGAAATGGGGACCTGGTGGCTGCCTCTTCGCCCAGATGTGCAGGATTTCTTGATGATGATGATGACAAGAAGGGCCAGTCATCATCATCATCATCATCATCATCATCATCATCATCATGTTTTGCTTCTAACCTACAGCGCCGAAAGGTGGCACAGGCTCTTGACATGTTTATGCTGCTGGGAGCGGAGTTGGGTTTAGTGAACGCTATGTAATTAAGGAATTCATCATCATCACCATCACCATCGTTTTGTACAGAATAAGGCAATGAGGTAGCCGCCAGCTTCTTGTTTGCCAAAGCAACATGCCAGTCACAAGTGTGACTGTTACACTCATGGCGTGGCCATTTATTACATGTCGCATCAACAGCTGTCTGATGCGGCAATGACGACCGACGCAGCTGCACCGACGCGCCACCTTCCCAACGCGGCTCAGGCCACCCGCACCGGCATCGCAATGCATGGGGACACGGGGCGCCAACCCGGTTCCCCAATCCGCAGAGCCGGGCTCGGCGCCCTGCCCGCCTTGGGTCGAGAGCCCAGCGTCAAAAGCCGTCGCGGCCGCCGCCAGTCGCGCACGCCACCCACCCCAGGAGCCTCCCCACCGGCGCAGATCCCGGTGATCCGCATCCTCGGCCGACACCTCGAAGATGGGCGCGTTGGGATACTTTGCCGTTGCCGCGGCGGGCGTGGCGCTGGCGGTCCTGCTGGACGTCATCCCCGTGGGGCTGCCCTACCCGGCCGTGGGCGAGCGCGCCGTGGACATTCCGGCTGGCCTCCTGCCCGTAGTCGCATCCCCGCTGGAGGGGCCCTATGCGCCCAACAAAGACCTGCAGGCCACCGCGCGCCTGCTGCGTGGCGCCGCGGACGGCTGCGAGTCCGTGGCCGCCACGCCGGATGGCAAGACGGTGATCGTGATTGACAAGTTTGGCTACGCGAGGCGGGGAAGGGTTCGGGACGATCCGAATGATGTTCCATCCGTGGATCTCGAGGAGGGGCTGTACGCCTACACCGGCCCCGGCCGACCCGGCGGCGCGGAGATCGACGCGGGCGGCAACCTGCTTGTCTGCGACACGCTGAAGGGCCTCCTGATGGTGGAGAACGGCACGAGGCGGCTGGTGGTGCTGGCCAATCGCGTGGCCGACGACTCGCCGCTGGACCCCGGCACGGAGATCCGTTTCGCCAACGACCTGGACGTCGCCGCAGACGGCACAGTGTACTTCTCGTCGTCCAGCGACCTGCGCGTGGCGATCGACAGGCATGGCGCCTACGACACCATGGGGGGCTTCATGCTAGACGCCTTCCGCGGCAAACCCACAGGCCGGCTTCTCGCCTACGACCCCGTCGCGCACTCCGCGCGGGTGCTGGCCAAGGGGATCTGGTTCGCGAACGGCGTGGCGCTGGCGGGAGATGGCTCTTTCGTCGCTGTCGCCGAGACGATGACGCTGTCCGTGCGGCGCCACTGGCTCAAGGGGCCCAAGGCGGGGCAGACCGACGTCTTGATCGACCGCCTGCCCGGCTTCCCCGACGGCGTGGCCCTCGGCGAGGACGGCAACTTTCTGATCGCCCTGGTCAGCAGGCCGTCGCCGCTGCTGCGAATCTTTCCGCTCAGGCCGCTGAGGGCGCTGATGGCGAGGGTGCCGCCGGCCTGGGTGCCGCGGCCGGCGCCCTGGGGGGCCGTGGTGCGGGTGAGCCCGGCCGGCGAGGTGGTGGAGGCGCTGTTCGACCCGGAGGGGCGCGTCGTGAGCGGCATCTCGGGTGTGCGGGAGGCGGGGGGCAGGATGTTCTTCGGCGCACTGGAGAGCGACCGGATTGGGATCTACCAGCCCAAGAGGGGGGTGTACTAGTTGGGGAAGGGGAGAAGGGCGATTCCTTATTTCGCCCCTTGGTTGGCTGCTTCATTCCTCTTCACTGCGTGCATACTCTTGCGTTCTTGATGGAATAATCGCACCCGCATGTGACCAGTAACGTGCTGCCCCCGTCATGACGAGAGGTGAAGTGTTGAAACGCGGTCTTGGTGTGACGTGACGCGTCCTTTGGAGAACTGGAACTGTGAAGCCCGGGTGTTAAGGCAGGTATCAGGTTACCTGTGCCTTGCCCCAGGCCACTGGGGGAATAAGACGCGAGCGAGTTGAGGCTGGCGGGAGTTGAGAAAGGGCATTGGGGTCAAGGGCAGGGCCTCGGGAAGGTGGGTCAGCAGGTGCAGCATGGGGTGCAACGCGTGGCCAACGAGACGCCACAAACAGGGCAAATGTCTCAAGAACACTTCAGGGGTGGGAATGGGGGTGGCGTAGCCCTGCACACGTTGTCAATGCTTCAGAGCTGGCTTGAGCAGATGCTGCTGGAGTTGTTGGAAGAGGATATCCTAAACTAGCTCATGCAGGGGCAGTAGGCACCAGCACGATGGCATGGAGCGGGTGATCCACACACTATCACCCTTGTATTACTGAGGAAGTGTGGATCTGTTGATTCTCATGCTCTTTTTCATTATCAAGTGTGATTTCGAAAACAAACTTGGCCAAATGAATTCAAAGTTTGATTGCCACCGTCAGTATCCCAGGCTGTTAAAGCTGCCCTGCTCTCGACACCAGAGCAGCCGTTGCAACGCAATTGCAACATATTCAAAGTGTTCGAGAAATGCAGGCCATCGTGCCTACCACGGACCCCACCGCGCGGTCGCCAGCAGCGTCAGAGCCACCAACATCGCAGAACAGGTGTAAGGGCATTGTGTGGTCATATTTCGCCTGGAACAGCAATAGCACTGGTCTGCACCGGCAATTTGGGCCGCCTCCAAAGTCCATAGTCATCGTTTGTTCAGACTGAACTTCATCAAAGTATCATTGGAACAGTGTACTCAACGCAACCTTGCAAGTGCCGGTTGGGGGATTTCTGGCGCTGGCAGCCCACCCGATGCTCGAAGTTGGTGCTGCCAGCACCTCTGCTGACTGCTCTCCCAGCAAACTTCCCAGTCACCAGACACCATGTCCTGTGGAACAGAGCACAATCTCAGCTGGTGCCAAAAAGCAGTGACTGCAGCTATCATCAGGTGAGCAATCTTCGGCCCTTCCAAGTGCTCGCTCCCAGTCTCCTTGTAATCTCTAGCTTTCCTGGACCTCTCCTTTATCAGCCAAGGGAAAGGTGTGTCCACTATCCAATCCATAAACACACAATAATCCAGAAATCGCCATCGATCTTCCTTCTCTTCCGATCATTGAGGGCAATGGTGAGTCGCCAACGCGTCATTACCTATCTTGCCATGCGTCTCGTTCGCTCTCCAGGTATCCCCCCACAGCCAGCTCGTAGTGCATCTGTCAGCCACCATGGCGGGGACACATCCCAATCCCGCCTAACGTTTCTTGAACCCGTACTTCTTCCTCTCATAAAACAGGTCTGTCTTTGCCGATCCCAAGTTTATGATTTTCGGGCAGCCGTCCCTCTGCACACAAGAAACAGCAGCAATCACAATCCACCACTCGAAACAATACAAAATGCACAGCATCCATCTGCCAATCACCAGTTGTACCTCTTTTCGTTTTATGCATGTATAAATATCGTTGCCCGCAAGATCACCCTCCCCACAATGCAGCCAGTCTTTCCCAGGTGAGCAAAGAAGCATGCCAACTGGAGACCTAAAGGGGCCCAACTCTAGGACCCTGCAAAAACCTTACCTCTGACCAGTGCAGAATCAACAATGATGGTTCGTGGGGAGGGTGCCTTTCACAGAAATGCTCATGAAACTGCAAGTGCCCCAATTTGAGTGACAAGTGCCCAGTCCTTGGACACAATCAAGATTCAACAGCGCTCACTGCAGACCATACACCATCCAGCACTGGGCCTTTATATATTTTGATTCAGAACACATGCACCAGCCCTCAGACACAATCAGGCCCCTGTTACAGCCCTGGTTTCCATAGAAGTTGAGGTAGGCTCTCCTTTCATTTCTAGAGCACAGCATTCACGCATATTCCAATGGGCACAGGAAGAGGGCAAAGATCTGAACAGTGGATTGAGGAACTGGGGCTGAAAACAGAACAAAAATACTTGAATGATGAAGGTGGCTACTCACATCCTTCTCTTGCAAGGTGCATTCCTTGCAGTAGTACGCGTCTGAAACACCAATGCCTCCGCAGATGACACAGCGACCCTCATATGACCCATAGTTGCACTCATCGCAGATGCGCACGAGTGTGCATGGCCGGACATACGAGTCACAAATTGGGCACTTTCCATCACCTGCAACACAATAATAAACACAGCACGATTGTTGATGGGAACGAAAATACAGTGGAGGAGTTTTCACCATGATGCAGACACCCCCGGACTTGTTCCATGAGCTTTCCTTGCTTTAGGTCTCAAACTTGCTGCCAGTGGCACCTATCGTGCTGCAGAGCGAAATGCGTTCAACCGTATTCTGCCCAGGAGGTACTCCAGTGGCTGACATGTTTCTGCGCTCAAAAAATGAATCTCAACGAAAACACCTCGGTGAGCCAAACGCGGGGAGGCGTGATATGATTTCGTGCTGCCCCACGCGGAGTCTGAGGAAAATCGGTTCATCGAACACATATGGGGAAGAGGATGGGTGGGCACTCACATTTCTCGCACAAGCGTCCAATGGCTGCGTCCACAAGCACAGGCCCGGTGCGTTAGATTCGGAGGAAAAACTGCGGCTGTTTGCAAAGAGCCAATTCACGCACGCTTCGCCGACTGCCCTTGGCCGCCGCGTCACCGTCAATGCACACGATCAGGAGCAGAAGAGCAGGAGAATAAACTGGAAGCACTCATCAGAAAACAGGTGCACGACCACGCGTTCAGGGCTGACTCAGACACCCAGCCCGGCTCACCAATCCCAGGCTGCTTCATGCACATGATCAAGTCGGGGTGGTGCTTCGCCATGGTCGGCCCAGGTGCGGACGGCCGGCGCGCACGCCTCCAAAGGGCCCACCGTCAGGTGCCAACGGTCCGCTGTCAATCGACACGCTGGGCAGGGCGGTCTGGCTTGCAGCCCACCAAGTTGCCTCCCCCAAGGCTGTGTCCCATTGCATTCCAGAATCACCCACTGACTGCATAATAGCAACAGCGCAATGGCGCAGCAGCGTCACGTGGCTGGCTGCGCAGCCGCGCTTTTTTATGCCGTGGTCCCCGCCACGACTTTCGCGATTTCTGCGAAGTTTTTTGTCGCGTGGTCTTGCCGGTGGCGACGTCGCTCGCTTTCCGGCGACGGCCTGCGTCCATGGCGGCCAGGGGCGGCAGGCACGGCAGGCCGGGGCGGGGACCCCGCTGGCGAGGGCGCGGCAGGGGCGCCAAGCGACCCAGGGATCCCGCGACCGGCGCCACAGGGCCGATCACAGGTCACGCGGCCAAGAAGCTGAAAGGGTCCAAGAAGCCCGATGAGGCAGCCAGGCTCCAGGAGGCGATCGACAGTGGGGCGCTCGCGGCAGGGGCGGAAGCCAATGGCACCCAGGCGGGGTCCGAGGGCAAGGGGTACGCTGCGGCAAGGGAATTTGACGAATTGCCGATTTCGAAGGGGATGAAGAGGGGCCTGGCGGGCGCGAGCTACGTGACAATGACGGCGATCCAGAGAGCCGCGCTGCCGCACGCGCTGGCAGGGAGGGACGTTCTGGGCGCAGCCAAGACGGGGTCGGGGAAGACGCTGGCTTTTGTGATACCGGTGGGTTTCCGGGGAAATGGAGGCCGGTTGAGGCGGTGCCGCCGCAAGGCGGCGTGTTGGCGGTGTTCCCAATCCAGATGAGCTGATTGGGTCACGGGGGAAGAACGGCGACGGAAGGGCTGATTGTAGCTGCTCGCTTGTCAGTGGGACCGCACATTGTGCGCAAAATGCTGCTTTCCAACCATTGGATGCACACCAGACGAATCGCCACAGTCCTTGACTCACGAGTCACGGCTATGCTGGACAATGGCGACTGGTTTGTCTGGTGAAGGGGACAGTGACAAGAGGGGCTGGTAGATTCGGACTCAAGCGATGTTATGTACATGCTTGGGGAATTGCTTTGCATAGCCATCTTGGCTGACTTTTGCATGTGCCTGGATGATGAGGGCAACTGCAGACCAGGTACAACGGTTGCACAACTGTGTAACACCACCAGTGTCAAGTGAGCCTCTTTACCACTGTCCACCAAAAGTCTCTCACTGTCCAATTCTATTCTCGGTATTGTTTGAATGGTGAAAAATTAGCCAATACTCCACACTGTCCGTGTGGATGGTGTTCTGCCGGCCATCGCCATTGAGCGCATGTGTGATGCATGTGAGTAATGGCTCAACAACACGGTGGTGTTTGCCACCTGCATCATTAGTATACCTTGTTTCTCCTTTCAGACACTTCCTCACCCTGGGGACACATTTGCCACCACATCCAACACTGCCCACCCTGGGGTCCATGTTGCAGGTCATCGAGCTTTTGTTTCGCAAACACTGGTCGTCTCTTGATGGCCTGGGCGCCCTCATCATATCTCCAACAAGGGAGCTGGCTATGCAAATATTCGAGGAGCTAATGAAGGTCGGCAAGCACCATGACCTAAGTGCCGGGTTGCTGATCGGTGGAAAGAATGTCAAGGAAGAGCAGGAGCGCATCGACCGGATGAACATTCTTGTGGTGACCCCAGGCCGGCTGCTGCAGCACATGGATGAGACCTACGGCTTCGATGCAACCAACCTGCAGGTGAGGCTGTTGAGGTGAGGCTGTTTTTCCTTCCAAGGAAGATGCCAGGACAGACAATAAACTGTCCAAAGGCAGCAGCAAAGCAGAAACATAAGCACAAGTTCTGACGTGTAAAAAGGGGCAGCAAGCAGATGGATGGGCTGAATCAAAATCAGGGTCTCTGCAAGGTTTGACATTTGCTGACACTGACAAATCTTTACCAGCCACCTGCACCTGCAAGGCGATGAAGACTTGGTTGGGTTCCTCAGGTTTGGTGTCCACTGTGCTGACAGAGTGCTTAATCTCATATCTTTATTATCTGTGGTCCTTTACGAAATATTGCTGCCTTTGCAAGCATTATTTACATGATTCCAAAGACAGTTATACGAACCCATAATTCTATTCAAAGCATCGCTGCAGGCAAGGCTCTAGTGTGCCAAGGCCTTGTGTACGTGCATGTGGCATGCGACAGCCCACGTTCATGCTTCATTTTCTGTTCAACGGCATTCAGCATTTTGGAGACAAGCGACAGCGATGGGGATGTTCACAATGTTGAACCCATGGAACTGCGAATTGTGTGTGTGATCCAATGTCAAAAAGGGCAGCGGTAGGCACACAGGACAGAAAATTGCAGTGCATGGTATATTATCCTGTCTGTGCCTGCCATCTTTTGCACAGCATGTTCTTGACACTCCCAGTGCTTAAGCGCTATAGACTCTTTGATGACTGTAATCATTTCCACAGGAAAGGATGGAAATTGGAAAGGATGTCAAACTAGGAAGACAAGCAGCATGGGCTGTGGCTGCTAAATGATACTTGAAGTATAGACCAAGACGTGCTGGGTGTCACAAGGCACATGGAATGCAGAGTAAAGTCTTCTGACAGGTTTCAGGGCTCAAAATGGTTTGTCTAGTATTGGGTGCCATTTTCAGTAATCGATTAAGCTGTCACCATGGCAATGCTGTACCAGGCCCCAAATGACAAGAAACTAAAGAACTTCAGAATGTGGGCTTCTCTGTAGGAACGCTGATATGGAAGCCCTTTACAGTAGCACAGAATTCTAAAATGCCAATGCGCTGTGGACGATTCTACGATCCTGATCGGCTTCTGTTTTAGGTGACAAAGTGTGCATCCATCTTCAGGGCCAGATTGAGCAGGTCTTTGTTGCCGTGTTGATATCCCATCCCTTGACATCTGTCATTGCAGATCCTGGTGCTCGATGAGGCAGACCGAATTCTTGACATGGGCTTCCAAGGGCCCATGAACGCGATCCTGGAAAACCTGCCAAAGGATCGCCAGACCCTCCTCTTCTCTGCAACACAAACCAAATCTGTCAAAGACTTGGCTCGTCTGAGTCTGACTGACCCAGAGTTCCTGGCAGTCCATTCTGAGGCCACCACAGCCACCCCTGTGAAGCTCCAGCAGTCTGTGATCACGTGCAGGCTTGGCGACAAGGTCACAGTGCTGTGGTCGTTCATCAAGTCTCATCTGAAGGCAAAGACGTTGGTGTTTGTGTCCACATGCAAGCAGGTGGGGAGGGTGCAATGGCACCACGAATTCCCCAAAGTCTGGATGAAATTGTCTGCTGGACAAAAGGGGAAGCGCCAGGCAACAGGCACACTCCTGAGCGGATTCTGACACTTGCAAGAGGTTACATGCTGAATAGTGCATGGATAGATTGTGCCCCTTTCATTGGTGTCTTTGGTCACATGCCAAGGGGACTCTGTTGGCCAGTCTTGCTGTGAAATACCCTGCATGTGTGGGAGCAAGGTGTGCTCATTTGCAGCCAATCAATTGAAACAAGCTGTGTTTGCCACGGCCAAATAGTAACTGGCTGTGATATGTGCACTGCTGGGTTTCACAAAGGGCAAAATGGGTGTTTTTTTGCCTTACGAGTGGGCAGAGTTTTTGACGCTGTCGCTTCGCTGTGCATGCAGCACATGTGTCAAACCACCACCCTTCTGAATTTGCAGCAAACTTAGATCCTTCACAAATGCCATCGCTCTAACCAAGTCATCTCAACAGTTGTCATGTGTGACTTATGAAGTCCAACAGCTTCAAACAGAAATCCTAACAATAAATGT